TCGGGATTGGGCTCCTTTTTAGACTAGTCTAACATGGGCCTTGCTGGGATTTCTGAATAAATGTGTTTTGGGCTATTAGTGGTAATAGATCTTAAAATAAGACCCAATTTGGGAGTTAGGGCCCAATTGTTAAAATTGGGCCAATAATGGGCCTTATGTATATGGACTTTTGGATAATGAACTTAATATTGGGCCTTGGCCTAAATTAGAGAAAAGGCAAAAATGGATTGTGTGGACTCTTAGTCAAGATTGATATCCCATGTGTTGACTTAGTATTTGTCATTTTGGATAGTTCGGGATTTTCGATGAGACAGCAGTTGAAGACTTTCAATCCAGTTCAGCACTACTTGCAAGGTTAGTTGTCCTCACTATACTAACAAGGTCGAAGGCACTAATGCTGGCCCTTTTCGGATTTATATCCGGGTTTATTTTCTGATATTCTTGTTGATTTACATCATGGTAGTTAGGATGGTGATATGTTAGTGACTGGTTAGGTCGGTATCCTGGTATATAGGATAATGCTATGTTAGTAACCAGTTATTTTGGTATCCTAGTATATTGGATAATGCTATGTTAGTGATCGGTTAGGTCGGTATCCTGGTATATTGGATAATGTTATGTTAGTGACCGGTTAGGTCGGTATCCTGGTTTTAGGATGTTGGTATGATTAGTGATTAGTTAGATCGGTTTGACTACTATATACGTGCTAGTGTATGATATTTATGTGCATATGATTGTTTGATTGGGGTTGGGTTGAGGCGGACCTACTTTGTGCTGAAGGCCAACATACTCTAGGCGGACCGGACAGACTACAAACCGGGAGGGCGTATTAGTCAGGTTGAAGCCCTGACGAGCAGTCCATAAAGGTTAAAGGCCCTAAGAGGTGGTCCAGACATACCAAAGGCTCGGAGAGCAGTCCAGATATACTGAAGGCCTGGGAGGTGGTCCAGTCAGGCTGATGGCTCATTATGCATGCTGTTTGTTTATATGATATGATTATGATTGTATGGCGTTGGTATTTTGGGGGAAATCACTAAGCTTCGGGCTTACAGTTGTTAATTTTGTTTTAGGTACTTCTGATGATCGCGGGAATGCGAAGACGTGATCATGCACCTCCTTATGTTTTTACGATTTGATTATGAGATACTCTAACATTAAACCATTTTGATAAAAATTTTGTAATAATTATCGATTTTGAATGATTTAAATTTTTTTAAATTTGCTTAAATTTTATTGATATTATAGGACACGACCTCATATGGACTCTAGAGGAAAATTTCCCACATGCAGAGCTATTAAAAAGGTTTGACATGGATCAAACTCCCCATCTCAGACCTCACATAGTTATAAAACCAAGTGCCTCTTCCCAATAAGTAGATTCCACTTGCATTAATAACAACATAAAAAAAAACAAAATATAAAAACATAATGAATTTCTTTTTTTGTTTAAATCAATTTTATCATTCATTTGAAACTTCTTCTAATGTTGTTTCAATTTTGTAAACACAAATCACATATAGACCAATAAAACAAACCATTGTTAAAATATAAAAAACATATTAGGTTACCTATGATATATGGTTAGGCTAGGCAATATGGAGCTCGGTAAGGCTTGACGAATCCAAGGTGGACTTGACAAACACCATGCTGCGAACTCGACATGCCAAGTTCGGCGACCTGACTTGGGAGGTGCTTATAAGTCTCTCTCTACCTTCTCTTCTCCTCACCATTCTTTCTCTCTCTCTCTCCCCCCCCCCCTCTTTTCTTTTCCACTTGACATCCAATCCCTCTTATCTTCTTCCTTCCTTCTTTCCTTAGCCAGAGCTGAAGTGGAGCTCGATGCAGTCGGCACCACTTCCCTTAACCTTATGAGTATTTTCTTCCGATTATTGTCAGATGTAAAAATAATACAGTTAAAAATTATGTAAGATATATTTGTGAACCTACTTACCAAGTCAACATGTAGAAGACATAATATTCTTTATATCTTCTGTCATATACTTAATTAGGTGTGAGATTCGTATGTTATACAAGTTTATTAAAAATAAAATTTTAATATCAATATATAAACATTAATATAAAATAATTGAAAAAGAAACGAAATCAATACGTTTGTAACATTTATGGGAATTTATTCTCAAATTAATATAATAATAACTTTACATGAATAAGATAGCAACATTCCACATATAATTATAAATTATGAGAATTTAATGTAAAAAAATCAAAATCCCCAAAAAATGACAAGTGGAAAATAAAAAATTAAAAAAATTAGAAAAAATCATGTGGCTAAATGAAGGAGAAAAAGACATATATCAAAATAATTTTCATTTATTATAATGTACTGGGCATTCTTTTTCAGCAACGATTTTGTATTTTCTATTAAGATTTTTCCTTATGAAAATATATATTCATTCACTTTAAAAATATGCTCCACACAATTCAAATATTAGGGTCTTATTTTGAAATATGGAGTAAATTACATGATTTTTCCTTGCTTCAACGGGTCAAATTCAATTATTATTTTTAAATATGAATGCACTGTACTTTGTTTGGTTAAAATGTACACATAGTTTGAATGTGTATATTTTATTCCTTGTGAGATGTGAAATGATTATTCTGTCCTTTTTATTTTAATTTTTATTTAATTTTTCCTACAATTTTTATAAAATACAGAATAAAAAAAAAAAAAAAGCACGTCACCAGTTCATACTGTCGGACCATTACCACCAAGCAACAATCAGTAACACCTAGTTCCCGAGTTTTAACGAAAAAAAAAAAAGAGAAAAGAAAGTAATGAGAGGAAAAAGAGAATGAAAAGCACAAGAAAATTTTCTTTTATGTTCCCGAATTGAAAAGAAAGTTAAATTTTTTTATTCTTTTTATTCAAATCCTATAAAATCGAAAGGAAAGTTAAGAGAGAAATTGATATTTTATTTCCTACTACTTCCCTCCACTTTTTTCCTATAACGAAATCCAGGAATACCAATTTCTTTTACTCTCTTCTCATTTCCATCAATTTCTTTTATTTTCTCTACTCAGGAACAAGGTAATTTACTCAATTCTTTATAGCGCACAAGTCTCTCTCTCTCTATCTCTCTCTCTCTCTCTCTCTCAATATTTTCTAATATGTTTTTTTCCTTATAAAAATATGTATCCATTCACTTTAAAAATATGCCGACACACTTCAAAAAGTAATATCTTGTGCTTTGAGTAACTCGAATCCTCGTAATTCGTTAATTTTAATTAGAAAATGCAAACTCATATTCGACATTTGATCGTGGATGTGTGTTTCTCAACCTTTAAAAGACGGGTTAATTGAAACTTCTTTAGTTTCAAAAATATGTTATGCATCAAAACAATTCAAATATTAAAATTTTATGATTTCAGGAACATGAATCCTTGTAAACTCACATCTTTTTTTGTTATAATCAGTAAACATAAATCCATATTCAACTTTTGATCTTTGGATATGTGTTTCTCAACTTTTTGATCTTTGGATATGTGTTTCTCAACTTTTGGAAAAAGGGTTAATTAAAACTTCTTTAATTGACAAAACTGCAAATTTGATCCTTATGGTTTGCAAAAATCTTTGGATGGGATCCAAAAAGTTTCCAGCTTGCACAGAATATCCAAAATCCGGATTTTTCTAGTGTTTTTAGTCCAAAAAAAACAAAAAAAAAACGTTTATACCCTTATTTATTTACTTTTACGTTTTATTAACATTTAAATAATAATAATAATAGTAATAAGAAAATATTTAAAACTCTATCTGTCTTACGTCTCTTTCTCCCTCCCTCCCTCCACTAATACTTCTCTCTCTCTCAATATTTCTAATATGTTTTTTCCTTATAAAAATATGTATCCATTCACTTTAAAAATATGCCGACACACTTCAAAAATTAATATTTTGTGCTTTGAGTAACTCGAATCCTGGTAATTCGTTAATTTTAATTAGAAAATGTAAACCCATATTCGACATTTGATCGTGGATGTGTGTTTCTCAACCTTTAAAAGACGGGTTGATTGAAACTTATTTAGTTTCAAAAATATGCTATGCATCAAAACAATTCAAATATTAAAATTTTGTGATTTCAGGAACATGAATCTTTGTAAACTCACATCTTGATTTTGTTTCAATTAGGAAACATAAACCCATATTCAACTTTTGATCTTTGGATATGTGTTTCTCAACTTTTGGAAGAGGGGTTAATTAAAACTTTTTTAATTGACAAAACTGCAAATTTGGTCCTTATGGTTTGCAAAAATCTTTGGATGGGGTTCAAAAAGTTTCCAGCTTGCACAGAAGATCCAAAATCAGGGTTTTTCTGGGTTTTTAGTCCAAAAAAAATTGAAAAGACGGTTATACCTTTATTTATTTACTTTTACATTTTTTTTTACATTTTATTAACATTTAAATAATAATAATAATAATAAGAAAATATTTAAAACTCTATCTCTCTTACGTCTCTTTCTCCCTCCCTCCATCCACCAATACTTCTCTCTCTCTCTCTCTCTCTCTCCCCCCCTCTCTCTCTCTCTTTTTCTCTCTTTCTCTCTCTTTCTCTCTCTCTCTCTCTCTCTCTCTCTCTCTTTCTTTCTTCTCTCTCTCTCTGTATATATATATATATATCTTTCTCTCTCTATCTCTCACACACACAGAGTGTATTTTCATTAAAGATTAAAGACCCATCGACAAATTCCCCTTCTCCGTTCTTCGTGCCACTGAGTTGTGCTTTTCCGACTATTACAAGGGTTTCATCTCTGGATGCAAGACCCACTGACGAGTTCTCCAACTTCGGCGATAGCTCTAGACATGTATCGGTGGTGGAAGCTCCAACATGTAACAGTAGTGGGATTGCAAACAGAAGGATGAAAACATGGAGCAATAGTGGAATCACTATTAAATCCTCTTCTCAATGATGTATCCTTCAAAATCTCGATACACTCGAGTCAATCCAACCCTCAATTTATATGCAAACCGTCTTATTACAGTGAAATTATGAAACCCCAAATGGAATATGGCTTAGACCGAACACAATCACAATAAATCGAGAAAATTTTGAAAACCCAGATGGTCGGTTTTCCGGTGCGATCCATCGATAGCAAAACCTCATCGGGGGTTGTTGTCTTCGATCCATCGACAACAGTAGGCATGGGAAGCATTTGGGTAATTCTTCTTCAATAGGAGGGGCTGCAGTCGATGTCTCCGGTAGGCCCATCGTGGCTTCCTTTCTCATCGTCGGTAGTGAAGGAGTCAGGGGTGTTTGTGTGGTGTTCCTCGACCAATCTCCAAGGAGGAAGGGGTACCTCCGGTGCTCCACTCGATTGCTTCCCTTCTCGTTGTAGGATGTAGATTTAAGCAGTAACAGTAACAATCGAAGGAGTGTGTTTGGTTGAAATCAGTGAGCAGATTAGGAAGAAAAGGAGTATTGTCATGGTGGCGATTGGTGGTCTCCTAATTCCACCGGTTTCCTCCTATGCTAGAGATACATAACTGGTGAAGGCAGATATATATATATATATATATATATATATATATATATATATATATATATATATATATATATATAGAGAGAGAGAGAGAGAGAGAACGTATGGGTGGGTGGGGGATAATATATTTTTTTTTCTTTTTTTTTTATGATAAAATGGTATTAGAATAATTGTAAAAAATAAAAAAAGAAATTAAAAGGGTATAATCATCTTTTCAAGTTTTTTTGGACTAAAAACCCAGAAAAACATTGATTTTGGATCTTCTTTGCAAGCTGGAAACTTTTTGGACCCCATCCAAAGATTTTTTGATAACCACAAGTACTAAATTTGCAGTTTTGTCTCTTTAATTTTAAACCACCAAATTGTGGAAGATAGGTATGGAAGAGTGAGTATAATGAATTAACAAATAATAAATACATATTAAAATTATTTAATTAACAATTAAATTTATATATTTCAAAAAGAAAAATGATTTTGAGCAAGACCATATTAGATAAATCTTATATAAATATCTTTAAGAATTATTTGAAGAATACACAACTTACTAGGTAACTTAGTAAACGTTTATTTTCGTTCTTTTCACAATACTTTATGATATGGTATTATCTTATTCTCAATGTAATCGGTATGTATATAAATTCTCTCTTACATAAAAAAAACATTTAATAACAAATTTTATTAAATAATTATTTATTTCTAAGAATCATAACCTCACATAGTTAAATTCATGTGTTAATCTATTTTTACTATTTTTATATCAATATTGATTATTTCAAACAACACTAAATAATTGAATAAACATCACATAAGTTATTACTAGATCCAAAAATCAAATAAATGGATATGGTACCAAATAGGTAGGTCTACCCAAAATCTTCTACCAAACTATAAAACTCCAATTCAGATGTCTATATCACATTAAAAATACCAAAGAAAGTGATCTATGTCCCTACAATGTTTGCTGATTATTTAACTAACCCAAACGTCCAATGAAGATCGCTTCTTTTCATCCTAATGTTAACACGTGTCAACATATTTGTCGTTTTATAAACCAAGTCATATATTCGGTGGGCTAGCCTAAGGCTCGTGTCCAGGTTCGTATGGTCATTGCTGCCGGCCCATTTGTGACCTCTTTGTGTTTTAGGAATTGGTTTGAAAACTTATCTATTTGGATTTAGGAATTGGTTTGGTCGAAATTAGTAGTAGGGTTTGAACTTTGAAGCTTAAATAGTGGTTTATATCGGTTTAAAGATTTACTTGTGAAATTGTTAAGAATTCGATTTTTAAAACAAATAAATTTTCATATAATAAAAAATGTTTGTTTCCATAAATTATTTCTTTTGTTTGTTGTTGAGACAAAGTTGACCATTTTTCTCCCTTGTATTATTTTGAATGCCTAGTTTTTTTTTCTTTTTAAAAATGAACAGTTGAAAAATATCGTTTTGAACCTGTAAATGGTCCGGAATGCCCTAAAAGCACCTTATATCATCGGAAAGCCACAATCATTGCTTATTTGATCGTTTCTCGTCAACCATATAAATTTTGTTAAATTCTGACACCAAAAACAAATGTTGCAAAAAAATAAATATAATGTCAAAGTGGTTCTTTGTGGGTTCGGATGAATTTTTCTCAAAAAACAGCTTGTTTATAATCTGGTTGGAACTCAATTCGATTTTGACTTTGTTGATCAAAATGATCCATTTTGGAAAAACCGGTTTTGATAAGTACATGGATCCAAGGAGTGACCTGAGGCTGGAAAGTAACTCTGATAATTGATTACACTAAAATGGGAGAGGAATGTTGTTGATTGTAGTGTCATCAAGTCATTTAGTATAGTCAAAATGGCAACATTCCCGATGGTCGGTTAATGGGTAAGGTCTATAAGATATATACATTTGTTAATTCTCCCACCAAAATCCAATTGTTGTGTTTGTTAGGAACATACATAACTTTTCGCAAAAAATAATTGACTTTAACGTCGTGTGTATTTATAAGATACATAATTTGGTTGATGCAAATACGCTATTCTTCTCTTAACATTAGAATGCATAATTTTTTGTCTCAAAGAAACATAAAAACAAAGCAATGTATTTTGTGTTTGAATCTTGGATTGTATATGAAATCCAGATTGCAGTTTTCTTGGACTATCATGAATATGGTTTTATGATACCCAAGGTTGCAAAAAATTCAATTGTAGCTTACAATTTGTATTTCTTTGTTCTTTGTTAGCTTCTAGCTAACTTTTTAATAAAATTAGGCCGTTAAAGAAAAATATAAAGGGTTTGTAACATCCAAATTGTTTATTTTGAAACACATATTTTAGACAACCATATGTTTGAAGCTTGAATCCTAATAAAATGATGTTTATAGTTTTAACCATGTTTTGTTAATAACATGGTTGCCTCCCCTTCAAAAAAAAATTGCATCAAAATTGTTGTTCCTTATCTATTTTGATTATCTCACTGTTAACGTGATAACGTCTTAAGCTAAAGAGAAATTAAATATTCTTCGGTTTTTTCTTCTTATCCATCCTCCTACCATCTTTAGATGATTATAAATATAATTAACTTTTTTTTTAATTTTATTACATATAACAAATGTCACAATCTTAAGTGGATAGGAAGATTGTAGGAAGAAAAAAAATAGGAGGATATTTGATTTCTCTAGTTAAAAACATGCATATTCTTGTCTATTTGACCCTTGTGTGCCTCTAGTTTTGGATCCATGCCCATGCTCTCTAAATAAAACCCAAAAATTCTATAATTTTAATATAGTTGTTAATTTAGTATGTGTATTCGTATTCATGGACAATTACCATTACACATATATAATCTAAATCAGCATCGATACATCTTTTTTTTCCCATAAGACGGATCTTTTGGTCATGAAGTAGATGATCCCAAACACGGATTTGAACTTATAGTAGAACTTACACTACTAATAGTAATGGGACCCACAGTTACAACAGTTGGAGCATACATATCATCTTCTGGTGGCAAAAGGATGTTTGTGTTGAGGGCCGTATAGACCATTAAAACAATGGAAACCATGACCGAAAGTAATGAAAGAAGAAGCATAAGCAAATGAGCAATGCTACTCTTGGTCTCTTGTGCATATTCCGTTGAAGCCAATGCCAAAACTGTTAACGGGTATGAATATGCCCACCATACCACATTGAATTTCTTCATTGATTTCTTGAATAAATTTGGTCTTGTTATCTGTTTTTTACACGTAACAAAGGATTTAGTTGGTTTTATGTAGTATTTATGTAAAATTTGAAAACTTCAGTTGTAGAAATTTAAAGAAAACGTGTTTTAAGAGAATTACAATATAATGGTAGGGTTTTTGCTTCTAGTTTCTAGTTTTGTAAGTTGAAAATAAGAAAATACCATACATGAACTCAAACAATATAAGTGACAAGTTTCTTTTTTGTGGAATGTACAAATTAAAAAAAAATCATTTAAAATATTCAACAACTATTTTTCTATTGTGTATTATGATAGTCTTATATCAAAATTTAGGGTTACAACTAAATCACACCCTTAATTCTATTATATAAAAGGTTTAAGAGAAAATTGCAAAATTGTCAATATTGTTTGTCTTTTTCTTTCGCTAAAATCCAAAATACTTTTAACTTGTAAAAATATTCTTTATTCCCGGATTTCATAGTGAATTTGATTCTTAAACTAATAAACCTAATAACATTTCATTGTCTTTGAAGTCAAGCACCAAATCAACCATGATTACAAACCAAAACATTGATATTTTTTAAAAATGTCAAAATTTTCGAATTTTTGAAATAATATTTGTGTAAGATTGATTAGTGGACTGGTTAGTAATGTTAAGTTTAGGGACCAAATCTTATTAGTTGATCAATCATTATTGATGTGGGAAACCAATTAGTAGATAATTGTGTACAAGTTTAATTGAATCAAATGGTTGAAGTAACTGCAATTAGTTACATAAATAATAAGAATAAACTCCGAGATTGATTATAAAAATAAACTCTGAGATTGATATGGGATGTGAATAAACTCAAAAAGTTTATACAACTTGCATTGATATGCTTAAAAAGTTACGCAACTTGCCGTGATATGATTTAAGAACGATCGATCATCTATAGGAATGTTTTTTTGTTTTTGTTTTTCCGCATAATTTGGTGACAGAAAGTATTTATTTATTTTTTCTAAAAAGTTATTGTCAACTTTATTTTTATTCTTGTTTTTTTCTCATCATCCGGGGGACAAAATTTAAAGATTTTCAAATGCAATGGACATTGATGGCACGATGAAAAGAAACATGTTCATAGAAAACTGACATGTAATTTACTACTTACACTCTTCTTTTTTATAACCAAATTTTATATATTTTAATCTATTTTTTCTTTTATAGTCCCATATTTTTAGATGATGATAAGTATAATAAATATTTACTAATTTTATTAAATATTAAGTGTATAGAAGATGATAGAAATAAAAACTAGAAAAATATACAATTTCATTTATATAAAAAAATAGTTTGAACCCAAAAAAAATAGCCGAAAAAAAAGGACAAAATATGATTCAAACATTTGATACGCTAACCAATGAAATAAATTTAGTAAAAAAAAATGTCAAAAACGTATTGGTTTTCTCTTATGACTAATCAACAGATAAAGACCAAAAAATCCTTATATTCAGTTACTTCTTATTTTTCTTGTACAGTTGTACTCCAATTGTTCAAAAAGGATTCCTCATTTAATTCGATCTACAATTTAATATAATTGTTTGATCAATGATCAAAATTTGTTTTTAAAAAAAAAAAATTGTTTGAAGAAAGCGAACTTGTGAAACAAAATTAAATTCTTTTTTTAAGTAATAGTTAAAATAATTAAATATAAAAAACTTACAAGTTATGAAACCAGCTATGTTTTTCCAAATAATTTAAAACAGAAAACATCATAAGAGAGTAGTAGTGTGGCAGAAATTTATGAATATAGCTTAGTTTAGATATTAATTACAATTATATATATATATATATATATATATATATATATATATATATATATATATATATATATATATATATATATATATATATATATATATTTGGAAAAAGTAGTTATTTTCAAAGACAAATAGAAAATTAAAGAAAATGAAAATAAGCACATAAAAATGACAATAGGAATGGACCATGAGTTACGTAGGTACAGAAAGGGACACCAACTCCAAAAGTTGTTTGGTGAGCTTGAAAGTGTCTCTTTCCTTTTTTATATTCTAAAGATTGAATTAAAAAAGTAAGGTTATAAAATCATACTGTAATATATAATCATTTATTTCATTTATATTATTATTCTCTTTCATATTTTATAAAACCATTTTACTAAGGTAATATAGTAAAAAAACAATTTGATTTTTTAAGTTATCTTCTTAATATTTTAAATATACAACAATATAAAATTAATAATTTATAAAATATAAGTTAAAAATCAGTAGATTGTTATAACAAGTTGATTGTATATCAAATGTGCATGAGGATTCGTGTATTTGTTCATCTTAACTAATACATTTTGTGAATTATTTGATACTTAAGAAAACCAAATATCTTTTAAGAAGAAGAAAGTATGATGTTCTTTTATGTATAGTTTTTGATATGTAAAGAATATTAAAATATACCTAAGCTACTCAGCTAGATAAACTAATATAATTCTGACTTATTCCTAAATTGTAAATATTTTCTTTTTCTAATTACCATATATATATGACTCTTAAACGTTAATTTTCAAAAGTATAATTATTCAAATAAAATTTAATAAAAATTAAATTCTCTTTTTCATTAAAATTTTCCTTTTCGTTTTCCAATTTGTATGTTAATTCTTCAAATAAAAATATATATTTCTAGTACCCATAAAACATATTAAAATAATAACGTAAATAATGCGATTTTTATGCAAATCGTAATCAAATTTGTTCTTATTCGTCTTTGAATTACGGAACCGAACAAAATCACATAAACATTGAAAATACACCCATCGAAATTCTGGTTTAATTATTTCGTCTGCTACGACTAATACTACTTAATATCTGCATAAATGATTTTAATATAAAATACAGAAACATCAAATATTAGTTTTTAAGACGTATAATATATTAATTTTTGAAAGAATTGTTTATGAATGATTATTTATTCTTTGTCCTTAGAATTTTGTGTGAACTGTGAACCATACTTAATAAAATATATGAATATTATTTAATATATATGTTCCTTCTATTAAAGACAAAATGTCTGAATCTAGGTAGCCACAAAGCGAAATCAATATAGACTACGTTCTTATAATAATAATAATTAATTAATAAAAAACTAAAACTTAGATTGTGGTAATATAATTTCATTTAGTTCGTTTCAACTTTCAAGTAACACTTGCTTAATACAAAACCTTGATCATTCGTCGAATATATTAAATATTTAAGTACTGTATTTAATATTTGATTAAGTTATAGTTAAGTAAAAATGTTAGAATATTAATTAAATGTTTAAAAATATAATTTAATTGAATAAATAGAAAATCTTGTAAAAGACCCTACAAATAATCTATGTATATATGCGTTAAAAGGGGAACAAAATCGAAGACTTACCAGAGACAAGAATAGAAAGAGAGAAAGATAAAAAAGCATCTTTGACGAAAAGTCAAACGTCCCGGAAATGGAGTCCCAAGCTAAGCTTGCCATGCTCGGAGCTGCAATGAACAAGAACATAACCGGCCGGAGCATCGCCGGAAGGCAGTTGTTTTCCGACATTCTCTGATAAAGCGTCACGAAAACCACAAGATAATGTATCATCCCTAACGCAAACATCACCATAGCACTCTCCTTCCACCCCATCTGAGCCGCTGCACGAGCTCCGACGAAGTTTCCGACCACCGACAGCTGGCTCGCCGGGTTTGCCACCGTCGACAGAATACGCTTCCCTTTCGTGAACCACTGCCCGTATATCTTCACGTCGAGAACGAATATCGGAACCACGAAAACCCACCAAAGAAGAAGGTAGTAGATCGTTTTTGGTGTGAAAAACGGCGCCGATTGAAGCAAAAGAAGCCATGAGATTGATGGTGCAAAGAGGTAGTTAACTCCGATATGATTCAGGTATTCGCTTTTAACCATATCGGAAAATAATGCGCATCTTAAGATGTATAAGATAGAGAGTGATGCTAGAATGAGCAGCGATAGTGACCAGAGGAGGAGGAAGGCGGTGGAGGGAAACACGCCGAGCATTCTACGGTAAGCGTGAGCGTTTTCCGGCGGGTCTTTGAGGGTTTTCCAGAGAAGGGCTTGACAGCAAAGGGAGAGGGTGATGCGAAAGTAGCCTGCATGACACCTTGTTAACACCGGAAAAACCAAGCCTTTGATTACGATCAAAATTCCATCATGGGCATCTGGTTTGAGGATGGTTGAATCGATGACTAACTCGATTTGTGGTGGTGGTGGTGGTGGTGATGGTAGTGGTTTGTCATGCGTTGTCATGAATGTTGCGGTGGTGGTGGTGAATGGTGGTGGACTGGCGGCTGCTTGCTTGTTTGTGTTTGAGAGTGTTTTCCAGAACATGTTATTAGTGGTGATATTTATAGAAGAATGTATGCGGTGGTCATGCAACATAAAATACACCGATGTCGTATTTTTTGTTTTATAAAAGATTTAATTTGGCATTCAAACTTTTACTTAAAGTTTTAAACTCTAAAAGTTAATCTAAGGTTATGTTTGGCGTATTAGCTAAAAAACTGGCTGTTAGCTGAAAAGCTAGCTGATAGCTGAAAAACTAGTTGTTAAATAAAAAGTTAGCTTATAGTTAAAAAGTTAACTGATAAAAAATAACGTTTCGTAAAACTAGCTGAAAAGCTAGCTGAAATATATAAAATTACATAAAACAACATGTAAGAATATGTGTTTCTATAGTTAATTAAGGGGTGTATTTGAAAATTTTTAAAAAAGCTCCTAAAAAGCTAGTCTAAGTAGCTTTTCAAAAAGCTAGCTTATAAGCTAGCTAATAAGCTACTTTTTGGCTTACCAAACACGACAATCTAAAAAAGCTCAAAAAATAAGCTAGCTATGGCGCGCCAAACATAACCTAAGACTAAAGGGTGCGTTAGGTTTTTTTTGCCGATTGTAAAAAGATGTCACACATAAGTTTTTATAATTTTTGCCATACTTTGCCTACGAATGGTTTTTTTTTTTTTTTTTTGTTGTTTTTTTTTAGAATTTCATATATGTCATTTTTAAACATCAAAATATCATATTTACTCAACGTAATTTTTAAATATCATTTTTACCCTTCATAAAATTTTGAAATATCATATACCCTTCATAAATTTTCGAAATATCATATTTATCCTTCATAAAATTTCAAAATATCATATATGTTCTTTTTAAACATCAAAATATCGTATATACTCTTCTTAAATATCAAAATAACGTATATGCTCTTCTTAAATATCAAAATAACGTATATGCACTTTTTAACAAACACATATACAACTAAAAAAAATAATTTACAGTTTTCATGTAGTTAGATGCATCAAACATTCTTAAATATGTAAATTAAAATTTTAGTTTAAAAAAAAAGATTAAAAAGTTATTCAACCCAAATGGTCAAGAGTTTAAGGTTTTTTTTTTTTTTTTTTTTTATAATTATTTTTTATAAATTAAATTAAAGAATGTGTGTCACTGTTTAAAAAAAAATATGGCCCATGATAAATGATTCCACAATTTTTTTAAATATTAAATATATTATACCAGATTTATAAGAATAAAATAGATAAGTATATCGTAACCTCCCAAAAATCAAGGATAAAAATTTCATTTTTATTAAATCAAAACACTATTGTAACTTTATCCAAACATTTAAAAGTATTTCAAATAAGACAATTATCAGAGTTCATTTCCAAAGATCTCACATTGAGGAAAACATGGGTGTATGCGCTGCGATCAAGCCGAGACATTTCCTTTCGAAACGGAAGTACATGAAACCATGAACCACAAACTGTAAGCACGAAGCCTAGTGAGTTCCTCAAATACCACATACCAGACATATCAAATGAGTCTTACATAACATACAAAATCATGAGCCATACATATCAAACATAAACATAATCAATATGAGTGTTATGAGCCAACCATAGTCTTGCCATTATGCCACGAGTTGCTTCGTGGTCTTTTTTGCTAGGATAGGGGCCACAACCCTGGCTCTTACAGAAAAGTGTCAGGAGCCACCTCCTGGTATTCCATGCAAGCATCACAAAGACAACTAACATACAATTCTACCATTACGAATCAATTAACTGCCAGAGTTCAGACTCTGGTCTCACATATAGATTGTCAAGGGCCACCCCTGGTCTTCCTACAATACACAAACCAAATGGGCCGACATTGGTGCCTTCGACCCATATAATAGTGAGGAGACTCACCTCGAATGCAGAAGCTCATTGAAAGAATTCCTAGCTGCTTCCATGACGTCACCTCTAAACTATCAAATCAAAATAACACTCAATTAGCAATTGAATCCGTCCCAAGGCTCACCAACCATACTTGGGATAAATAACCATTTTAACCCTGACCCCAATATAAACCAAAATTGAGGCCTAAAATCAAAGGATCCACAAAGGCCCACTAATGGCCCAATTTTCCAAATTGGGCCCAATCCCATATGGGTCTTATCTTAAGCCCATGATTTTCTTGATTACAAAACTGATTAACTCAAATACCCCCTTAGAATACCTTGGTCAAAGGCTAAGGTCAAAAGTCAAAGTCAATAGCCTGAGTTGAACCAACTCGCCGAGTTAATCTTTCAACTCGTCGAGTTCATCTAACAACCCGCGAAGTCGGTAAAAGCCTAGCCAACTCCCCGATGTAACATCCAAACATGTGGTCCCTAATATTTTCATTTTAATATAAGATAAAATAGTAATTCTCCATATCATCCACACATTCGAAATAAACCAGTGTAACAATTTTCATAAATCAGAGTATAACATCATAATGAAATCCAAATGGTGTATGCAATGCAGTCATCCCGAGCTCTTCCCTCTAGAACTAGAATTACCTGAAATATAAACTGAAAACTGTAAGCATGGGGCTTAGTGAGTTCCCCCAAAATACCACATACTAAACATACAATAAACAAATAATGGGCCTCGCCCGACTTCGGATCCTGTCCGGCATCGGGCCCCGCCAGCTTCGGACCCCGTCCAGCATCGGGCGCCACCCGACATCGAGATGAGCGAGGTAAAATGGGCCCCGCCCAATCATACAATAACATATATCAAATAAACACATACACATGCAATAATCACAAAGATATATAGCATACAAATATCCATCAAGCCCCGCCCGGTATCGGGCTTTGACTCAGATAAATATATAAACACAACACATGCAAGAGTCATAGAGACAAATAGCATACTAACAACATAATGTAAATATGGGTCGGCATTGGTGCCTTTGACCCACTAAATCCTGTAAGGAAACTCACCTTGAATACTGGAAAGTAGTTGAACAGTCCCCGACTCCGAATATCAATCCAACTCAATCCCCTAAACATAAAAAGATTTCCTTAAGTACCCCTTATACTCGTAACCCCTTAAGGGTCAACTTTGGTCAAAGTCAAAGTCAAAGCTCTGAGTTGACTCAACTCGTCGAGTTGCCCTTCAACTTGTCGAGTTTCCATGAATCACAAAATCATGATATCGCGATCCAACTCGTCGAGTGTTCCTCCAACTCGAAGAGTTCTCCTTTTCAACAGAACCGAGACTTCTCAATACAACTCGTCGATATCTTCAGTCTATTAACCCTTCTTAATGCATTAAGCCATCATTCCTCAGATCTACACCCTATACTCCAGATCTAGACTGGAAATTAACAGGTTTTGAGCATTACAACATTCCTATGGTGCACATGCAACCTTAATTTCTTTGGATCTATGTTTTTCTCAAGTTATACATGCAAATTAATTATCCAAATCAAGAACCCTAATCTAGCACACAATTTTTTGGATTTAATAAACAAACTAGGATTAGAAGAATATCTTTCTTATTGATAGCTTGATCTTGACCTTCAAGAGCTTAGTGCCTCAATTGATGCACCTCTAATGTAGTCACAAACACCACTTAGAAAAAGATGAACGAGAGAGAGAGAGAGAGAGAGAGAGAGGATGGAGGCTATCAATTTTAGCTAGGATTCTTCTATAAAGCATAGGGCCGAAAGCAATAGCCAAAGGGTCCTTATATAATTGAGCTGCTACTAGGGTTTTCAACTGGATACCCTAATTCCCTTGCTTAGGCCTTAAGCAATCCACAGACCCTACGTGAATGGCATTGGACGAAATCTTCATGGAATCCCATATAGTTTTCGTCTACCCCTTATCAATAGGGTCCATTAGCCCAAACTACAACTATTACTGATTTACATAATCAATCATCGTTCTTTTAATCAGTCTCTTTTGATCACTAAATTAATTCCAAATTAATTTCTGATCAATACTAATTAAATAATATGATTTCTCAAGTAATATATTATTCTTATAATATATTAATAAATCATTTATCTACCAATTTCTCATAATTCATCCTGTCAGGTTACTATGGTGAAGGCAACCCAAAAGGATCATGCTACTATCGGGTCAAGTACATACCAATTATAGTTATGGGCTTAGACACCTAATCCAACAATCTACCACTTGGATAAGTCTAATAACTATAATTGCAAGAACGACTTCAAAATCCGATTAGCAATCGTAACTATCAAAACCCACTGTCGAACTCTAACCTAGTTAATGATGCATCCTTTAGATTAGGGATCATATAATCCTCCGTTCTGCAAGATATCGTGTGGAAAAAGACATGGAATAGAGTCATACTCAGTTTCCAACAATTTGTTTCCCGACTTCTGATTTGTTTGGCAACGAACTTAATTGAACACATCAATTTCGTCCTGACTAGGCCCGGTACATAAGTCAACACAAAATCATTGAGGGGCCCAAGATATCGGTTTTACCCTCTTAGGATAAAAGGAACAAATAAACTTTGACTTATATGCTTGTACTATTTACTCGTTAAATCATACACAATAACACGTTTTATAACATCAAGTTACTGGTGCGTTTACGCATTATCAATGCACAAAAAACTTGTAAACAACACATCATATATCTCTGTTTAAAGATTATAAGATATTATCGTCTCATAATCACTCATGATAAATTCCATGAAGTGATTCACATGAGCGTGGGTTTAATCCAATACTCAAATCTTATTTCAGAAGTACTCATGAACGTTGCAGCAAACCTTTTCTATGTCTAAGCACTTAGACAATCTACAACCAATTCATGAAAGTCTAATCTCATAACTTACTCCCAAAGTATGATTGACTGTGGATAATTTGAACAATCTAATTATTCTGGTAGTAAAACATGCAAAATTGAAAAAATAGTAAACAATCGACACAAGATAGTAAACTTTACTCATAAATAAATCTCCATTATTAATTATCAAATGTCAATTACATGTAACATCCTGAAATTTAGGTAAAGCTATTTAACCCTTCCTTTTTGTCAAGTTGTCAAGA